GGAAAAGAAAATGGAAAATGAAATGGAAACTGGGGATAATGGAAAATAAAATGGAAACTACTATAATGGAGAATCAAATGGAAAAGAAAATGGAAAATGAAATGGAAACTGGGATTATATTGGGGTTATATAGGGATACTGGAAAAGAAAATGGAAACTACTGTACAGTATATTGGGGTTATATAGGTATAATGGAAAACAAGATTAAAGCTATTATTTAGGATGTAATTAAAAAGGTTTAGGATTTAGGGTTCAGGCTTCGGCTTTAGGCTTATAGGCAGCTCAGAGGCCTTAGGCCTTCTTTTCTGCTGTAGGTTTGCGGGTCAGCGATCATGGCCATAATGCGGGTTGTAGCAGCAGGACCTTCACATTGTCCTTGGGTTTTGTTGAGATGTTGATGAGTGGGGCAAGTAGGGGACGGACACGTCTCTTGCTATCAGTCCGTCTTCAACAGAGAAATCAAAGACCAACTGCAGAAACAACTGCAAATATTGGATTCTTGAAAAAGAGTACCCTAGGCCTGCGCCCACGACGAAATTATGGGGCAGCAGGTGAAGTAATAGCAAACGCGGCATGAAGGGAAGAGTTTCAGTGACGACAATGCCTCATGCAACAAGTGGCCTGGAGGGAGGCTTTGAGCAGGCCCCCGGCCCCCACTTTGCGCAACCCTCAAGCTTGAACCTCTAAACCTTTACCCCAGTCCCAAGCGCAGAACCACAGACTCCTGGACCCATGACCTTTAAAGCTTTCGTCACCCCGCCTGGAATCTAGAACCCCGAAGAACAAGAGCAAGAGGGGCGGGCAGGCCTGGCTAAACTTCCGCACAGCAGCCGCTGCAGCCGAGTTCAAGCAAGAATCTCGACAGCCTTGTTGGGCTTAGGATTTGAGGTTGAAAGTTTGGGGTTGGTTTCATCAGGCATCTATTGTGAGCTCACCCGGCCTCGCTGCAAATGGTAGTATGTAGTTATGGCCCCAAATCAGATTAACTTGGGATTCCGAGATCATTTTTTTCAAAAGGCCAAGTTCAGGTCTTGGTGCCACACGGGTTTAGGGTCTGCGCTCGAAAGCCATTAGCCCTGAGGTTATGCACAAACATTTCAGAACTCTCCACTGGCTTTCAAAAGTCTCTCCGCTCTCTCTCTCTCTCTCTCCCTCTCTCTCTCTTTCAATCTGTGATTTCTCTCGCATAGTTATTTCTGTGAGTGTATCAACGTTACGTGTCGCCATCTGCATTCCAAGACAGATCAGTGTTTGATGGACCGAGGGTATTTTGAAGAAGTACCCATGCTACCAAAAGAAATATCAGGAAAACAATTTCTTCAATGTGGGACCTTTTCTCAAAGTACCGTTATCTTCCTGAAGTGGGCTTCCACTATCGTCGGATAGGCCTGGCATTTCCCGCAGATCCCCGTGAGCATTGCGTTGTTACTGGTACCTCTCCTATTACGCAAACCAACTTTCACTGCAGTATCAAAAGCTTGAAGCTCACATGTCATATGTATGAGGCCTCCAAAGTAGATAAACCCTCACGCTCCTTGGAACCCCTCGTAGAGACCCTTTAGATTTCGCCGCGTGTTTTGAGTTAACCCTATTCCTCAACTTTAAACCTTATTGTGCGCATGATTTAGAGCCACTAAGGCATGGCATGGCTCCCGACGGTTTGCCTTCAAAGGCCAAGATCACAGCCTGCAGGCCCCGTGAAAAGTAATCCTATTGGTTCTTAGTCGGGAATATGGGAATAATACGTATATAATAACATATGTGACTTACTAGTTCTTAGCAGGCACTAAAGGAATGCACTATATCAGGACAATATTCTTAGATTCCCTATTTCATAACCGGCAAGTAATGTCGCACCCGATTTAATGGAGGGGTTCGGATTAAT